GGCACCCCAGATTTCATTAAGCAAGGTTCCTTAGAGGACTTACAAAGACCTTAGACTCCATCATTATATATGGAGGCTTAACACCCACTTCAACATTGACAGATTCAAGGGCAGAAAGTTACAAGGATATCAGGGAATTGAAACTAACTCTGCACAAGCGAACCTAATGGACTCTACAGGAATTCCTCACCCAAGCAGAGATATATATTTCTTCTTCAGACCACATCACACTTTCAAATTGACATTAATTTGGAAGGGTAAGCACTCCTAGAATGGAAAAGAACGAATTATAAAACGTGGTTCTCACCCACAGCTGCAATCAAAGCTAGTACTCAGCTAAAGAAATTTCCAATCAAACGGCTCAAAACTAGCATGGGAAACGGAACACGTTGCTTCTGAATGATTATGTACCATACGTATGAAGGCAGTCATAAAGGATGTTCTTTGAACAATGAGAACAAAGATACCCATTACGGATTTCTCTGGGACACACTTAAGGCTTGTGTAGAGGGAATTATAGCATTAAAATGCCCACAAGGAGGGAAAGGCGGGAAAGATTCTAATGGATATGTAAATCACACTTAAAGAAACTAAGGAAGTAAGGGCAACACATTCAAAGTAGGGGCAGAAGGCAAGAAATACTAAGATCAGGAGCCACTGAGGAGATAGGAGGACACAAAAACCCTTCAAAGTAGAGAGTCGAATGATTAGAAGCCAGCTTTTTGAAAGAATCAAAATAATTGATAGGAGCCTGAAGATAATAAGGAAGGAACGAGGAGTAATATAACAGATGCATAAAAATGATAAAGGATAATACCACCGGCCACGGGAAATACCAAAACTACCATCAGAGAATATTTTAAACACTGTATGGAATTGAACACTAAGAAAACCTGAGAAATGGATATTCTGGGAACTTACACTACTTCATGACTAACCCAGAAGAAGTTGCAATCCCTGAATTAGAGCCAATGTAGGCTTGAATTGAGGATAATTAATAGGCCTCCAACAAAAAAGTCCGGAAGGTATGGGATTCCCAGGGAATTCTACAGGAGTACAAGGGAAGTTGGTCATTCCTTTGCTGAAACTATTCCATAAGAAAAAGAGGGGAATCGTCTCGTAAACTCATTTTGATGGCCAACATCATTCCTTGATACCAAGGCTGGGCAGAGATGCGACAAAAAAAAAGCAAATTTTTGCCATATCCCTGGATGGACATTCGATGGAAAAATCTCATTAAAAATACTGGCAAACCGAATCGCAGCACATCCAAAGGCTTAGTCACCGTGATCAAGTGCTTTCATCCCCGGGATGCAGAAGGTGGGTTCAACCATATGGCAATTTCGTAACGTAATCAGCTATTAAACAGACAACGCAACAACCACATGTCTATCTCAATTAGATGCAGAAAAGGCTTTTGGACAAAATTCAACAGCCCTTCATGGTAAAAATCTCAATATTCGTATGATGGGAAGTATCTCAATAATAAGAGTTTTATAAAACCCAAGCCCAATATCATGGGCTGAATGGGGGCAAAAAACTGGAAGTTCCCTTTGAAACTGGGCACAGGACAGGATTGGCCCTCTTCCACCCCTCTATTCAACATCCAGTGTTGGGAAGTTCTGGCTAGGGCATTCAGGCAAGAGAAGAAAAGGTGGTATCTCAGTTACGAAGAAGGAAGTCATTTTCCCTGTTTACAGGATGGACATGGATTGTATATTTGAGAAAACCCATTCATCTCAGCCCCCCAAGTTCCTTAAGCTGATAGCACTTCCAGAAAGTCTTAGGTACAATCATGTTCAATCAAGCATTTTATACACAGTAGGAGGACACGAGAGGCAATATGGATGACCTCCATTCAATAGCTTCAAAGAGAATAATCCTAGGAATTCAATTTACAAGGGATGTTAAGGGACCTTTCAGGGACTTAAAACATGCTCAGTGAATAAAGGACACACAAATGGAGGGACGATAACCCATTGCTCATGGTACCAAAGTCATATTTGTGAAAATGGCCATTACGTGCCCAAGTATTTATGATTCATGCATCCCCCCCATTTAAGCTACAATGACTTTGTGCAGAATTGGAAAAACTTCTTTAAAGTTCATATGGAACCAAAAAAGACCCCGCGTTGCCAAGACAGTCCTAAGCCAAAAGAACAAAACTGGAGGCATCACGCTACCTGACTTCAAACTATAGTACAAGGCTACAGTCACCAAAATAGCATGGTACTGGTACCAAAACAGAGATATAGACCAATGGAACAGAACAGAGCCCTCAGAAATAATACCACACATCACAGCCATCTGATCTTTGATAAACCTGACAAAAACAAGAAATGGGGAAGGGATTCCCTATTTAATAAATGGTGCTGGGAAAATTGACTAACCATAAGTAGAAAGCTGTAAGTGGATCCTTTCCTTATTCCTCATACGAAAATTAATTCAAGATGGATTAGAGACTTAAATGTTAGACCTAAAACCATAAAAACCCTAGAAGAAAACCTAGGTTATAGCATTCAGGACATAGGCATGGGCAAGGACTTCATGTCTAAAACACCAAAAGCAACGGCAACAAAAGCCAAAATTGACAGATGTGATCTCATTAAACTAAAGAACTTCTGCACAGCAAAAGAAACTACCATCAGAGTGAACAGGCAACCTACAGAATGGGAGAAAATGTTTGCAATCTACTCATCTGACAAAGGGCTAATATCCAGAACCTACAAAGAACTCAAACAAGTTTACAAGAAAAAAACAACCCCATCAAAAAGTGGGCAAAGGATATGAACAGACGATTCTCAAAAGAAGACATTTATGCAGCCAACAGACACATGAAAAAATGCTCATCATCACTGGCCATCAGAGAAATGCAAATCAAAACCACCATGAGATACCATCTCACACCAGTTAGAATGGCAATCATTAAAAAATCAGGAAGCAACAGGTGCTGGAGAGGATATGGGGAAATAGGAATGCTTTTACACTGTTGGTGGGACTGTAAACTGGTTCAACTGTTGTGGAAAACAGTGTGGTGATTCTTCAAGGATCTAGAACTAGAAATACCATTTGACCCAGCCATCCCATTACTGGGTATATACCCAAAGGATTATAAGTCATGCTGCTATAAAGACACATGCACATGTATGTTTATTGTGGCACTATTCACAATAGCAAAGACTTGGAATCAACCCAAATGTCCATCAGTGACAGACTGGATTAAGAAAATGTGGCACATATACAGCATGGAATACTATGCAGCCATAAAACAGGATGAGTTCATGTCCTTTGTAGGAACATGGATGAAGCTGGAAACCATCATTCTCAGCAAACTATAGCAAAAACAGAAAACCAAATACTGCATGTTCTCACTTATAGGTGGGAATTGAACAATGAGATCACTTGGACACAGGAAGGGGAACATCACACACCCGGTCCTATTGTGGGGTGGGGGAGGGGGAGGGATAGCATTAGAAGATATACCTAATGTAAATGACGAATTAATGTGTGCAGCACACCAACATGGCACACGTATACATATGTAACAAACCTGCACGTTGTGCATATGTACCCTAGAACTTAAAGTATAATAATAAAAGAAAAAGAAAAAAAAATTGTGTCTGTGAAATGCTCCAAAAGTTTGGCCATTTTGAGGCACAGGCTTTATTGATAGAGCTCTTTCTATAATTTCCCAGCATACCTGCCTCACTGTTACCTTCCTTTCATTTTTCACTCTCTTTTTCTTCTCAGTGCCATCCTGCCTTGGCTCCCATCATCTGCATCTGATGCCTTTCCTTTCTTTGTTTGCCAGTCTCCTTTGCAGTGGGACATGGCTAAGCTCTGTAGAGCTGCTCAGAAACTCATTGTCCCATCCTGTAGCTGTAATACATGCCTCCAGATTTTCACAGAGTAATTCTACTCTCCCTTCCAATTTAAGCCTACCAGAAATGTTAGTGAAAGGACATTAAAAATGTAACAGGTGACATGTGTAGCTAACATGGATCTGGAGAAATAGGAAGCAGTAGAATTAAATGTTTCCCTTTTAGGTTCAATTGTATTTGTTCTTGGGTTTTGTTTTATATATTCTCCAAATAAAAACATTATTTTTTCTAACCAAGAAAAAAAAAGAAAACATATATCCACACAAAACTTTGTCCACAAATGTTATAGTGGCTTTATTCATAACAGCTAAAAAGTAGGAAAAATCCAGATGCCTTTAACCAGTAAATGAATAAACAAATTACAGTACATTTATACCATGGAATCTTATTCAGAATCAAGTAGGAATAAGCTATACATAGATACAAGTTGGACAATTCTCAAAGGCATTATACTAAATGCCAGTCTCAAAATGTTGCATAGAATACTATTCCATTTATAAATCATTCTCAAAAAGACAAAATTAAAGTGTCAAAAAACATATTAGTGGGTCTCAGGAGTTAAGGGTGGTGATAGGATGTGACTACAAAGTAATAGCATGAGGGAGTATTCTGGATACTGTAGCTGTTCTTTATCATGATTATGATAGTGTTATACGAAACTATGCCTGTGTAAAAATTCATGGAACTGTAGACCAAAAATATCATTTTGCTTTATTATAAAAACTGAATTTAAAATAAATTTAATATAAAAATACTGACCATGTAGTTAATTAAGTATGGATGCAAACCACTCAAAATAGTGGAATGGAGCTAATATAGTGAACCTTAAGTATTCAGCAGAGGAGTTGGGGATTTATTCATCAAGTAGTGGTGAGGAAATGAACATTTAAGTTGAGCAGCGAAAAGTCTATTGGGATCTGATTTATACAAATATCACTTTGAGAAAAGTGGACAATAGATGGAAAGAAGTGAAACAGAAAACTGGAGATATTCTGTATGAGAGATAATAAACATCTAAAAGTAGGAAAAGGAGAGCAAGAAGAGAAAAGGTTTGGTGAGGTCTAGATTTGTTACACATTATGATAAATCATCACTGATTTGGTTGGCAGGAAAAAATTGCTTTGTTAGTAAGTTCTTTATTTAAAAGGCTCCTTCCTTCCTGTGTTGTGGCTAAGAGCCCAACTTTATAAAATTCTAGAACAGCGGGACTTTGAGTATACATTTGGTAGGCAACACTCTGTCTTGTGTCAGAATGGAAGTTCTGGAATGCAGACCCTGGGACACAACTAGCCATGCCAAAGTCTGCAGACTCATCACCACCTAACTGTTCTGTGAGTGCTGGCTCTGTCCCCAGATTCTCACAGTAATAATAGCCGACACTTACTGACTGCTTACCATGTGCTAGGCCCTGTTTTAAGTGCTTTCTGTGCACTGTTTGTTTAATAATGTTAAAAACTCTCAGAGATTATACCATTATTCTGTTTGGAGATGTAGTAACTAAGACACAGACTTGTCCAAGATTCATATAGAAAGTAGGTGATTGAACCAATATTGAAAACTTAGGTAGCCTGACTTCGGTGCCAAGGCTCTTGAATATTATGCTGTGACACCTCATAAGAAGCCAAAGATCCTTGAAAGAAGGTGAGTAGAAAGAGAAAAACTACTAGTAGCTTTCTCTGCCTTGACTACTTCCCTTCAATCATTTCTTCTTTCTGTGTTACCTACTATTATTGTTATTTTGCCTATGATTAAATACTCCTGTCTCATTAACACTCCCCTCACAGTCACTTGGTAGGAAATCTCTTCTTAGTAGTCCTCACATCCCTGCCTCTATTGTAAGTATTTTAGGTGGTGCTTGGCGAGTCTTCCTACTAGTTTATCCTGATATGAAACTCTATGCTTGCATATTTCAGAGTCAGAAAGTGAGTGGGGCTGATGGACTGCTAGGATAAACAGAACAGGCTTTCTATATGAGTTAGTTCATGGGTATGTGGAATGAGGATGTCTTGTCTTCGTGCTAGACAAATGTCAAAAACCAGGAAGAGGGAGCAAGTTTCGCTGAAGGGAGGCTATGCATGTTAAAGTAAGTCAAGAAAACTACAGACAGCTGGTCAAATCTAGCCCATTACCAGTTTTTATAAATAAAATTTTATTGGAACACAGCCATGTCCATTCACTTATGTATTGTCTGTGGCTGTTTTTGTGTGATGACAGCAGAACTGAGTAGTTGCAATAGAGACCATATGGCCCACAGAGCCTAAGATACCTACTATTTGGCCCTTTGCAGAAGTATTTTCCTAGCCCTTGGTGTATGAGATGGAGCATCCTGTATTATTGGAGGGTTCTGTGCAGGGAAATGCTAAGAGATTAAATTTGCATTTTAGATAGAGACATTTGGAAGCACTGAGAAGAAGAAATCTAGATTCAGGGACCAGAGAAATCAAAACAGGGTAAAAAAGAATTAGCGAGCACTGAGAGCAAGTAGATAAAAGGGATTAGCATCTAGAGGTGCCAGTGAAGATAGGTTTTCCAGGATTTGACTGAAGTGTGTGTGTGTGTGTGTGTGTGTGTGTGTGTGTGTATGCATGTGTATGTTGAGAAGGGAGGATTTCCAATTCTGAGAAAATGAGAGGGCAGAGGGAGGAACATAGTACCAAAAAATAGAAGAAATACCCTCCCATTTCTGTTATTTCTGTTTGAAATGACCGCTACGTTTCTTTCTGCAGAAAGAATTTTCTCTGCAGAAATTTTCCCTAGGGCTGGTCTTCCGGGACTTGTATTTCTTAGGCAACAGTGCCCCTAGTGTCTATATGGCAGCATCACAATCTGATAGACAAGATTTCTTGAGGAGGGCTAAAGAAACACAATTGCAAAGATCACATTGCTGAGACAGTTTTTACTTCTTTGCCAAAATTGATATAGATGACCAGGTACACTTTCACCAGAAATACACTGGTAAAGTCTGCTTATTAGGAGAGGCTGTGGAGGGTGGACCTGGTGTCTTTTTTTTTTTTTTTCTTCTTTTGCCTTATGAGGCTAATTCATATAAATGTCAGATATAAAAATAGTATCTTCTTTCAAGAAACTGCCTCCAGCTTTGCCATATCTACAATGCCATGGACTAAGAATAACACCTTAATGAGCTTTGAGGGTTACTTTTCATGGGTGGTCTGGGGCAGGAACTACTGAATTTATGAACTGCCCCTCTTTGTCATCCTTTGCCTATCCTCCAAGGCCAGGGTAGCTGCCTTCCGGTTGAAGCCTTGTTAGGATGTGAAAGCACAAGAATATGCCAAGTCAAGATCCAGTCCCGGTTGTGCAAAGCACCACCCCTATCATGTAGAAGCCTAGATGTCTTAGTCCCCAGGGCTGCCCTTACTTTTCCAGGGGATAGCTGTAATTCTCAACCAAAAGTCTTTAATCCCAACCTTGAACACACACTGAGTGTGTCAATTCAGTGCACAGTCCTCCATTATGCCCTTTCAAGTTATAGACTGGCCTATCTTTTGTCACTAGCCTCAAGGAGCCAGGAATGGCAGGCAGCCACGAGCTACACATCATGGGGATTAAATTCAAAGTGTAAATGAAAAGAGTATAATGAGGTAGGTCTACTTTTGTTCTGCTTTCAGTCTCTAATTATTTTGGCATGGAACAATTAAATAATGACTAGTTACAATTGTGTCAATATGTTTCTTGCAGATTGAATGTGTTCATGCACAGATTTTATCATCTTGTTACTCAAAAGGCTGATGGCTCCCGTCCCTGCGTGGAAATTTCCTAAAGAGGTAACAGTTCTAGGACACACGTGAGTAGCAAGTGGGATTGCCCTCCCCACTTCTTTTTTTTCCTGTTTTCAGTATTTCCTTCTTTCTTCTCCCTCTTTCCTGAATCTAAGTCCTCTCAATCTGGTAACCCCATCACTAATGGACATTTTTTTTACTTTATTAATTTTATGTTATTTTTACATGTGATCTATAGTTGTAATACATTTTTAAGTCTACGATACAGTATTGTTGACTGTAGGTACGTTGTATTCATTGGGGAAATCTAGAACCAACATGTAAACTAGAAAGAATTCTAGAACAGGAGTTGTGAAAAGCTTCTTCTAGACAGGAGTTGAAGCTTACCATCTTAATGTCATGAGGAATGTATCTTAATGTCATGGGGAATATTGCTTAATATTTCCGATGTCTGGTTTTCTCACCTTTGTCAAGGGGGTAGAGCCAGATGAGCTCTGAGATACCTGAAATCCATTGGAAATACCTTCAAATCCATGAACACATCTTTTCTAGTTCCCAGTGTTCCTGTGGGAGAATACAGAGATATCATGAGTTCACAATAATGGGAGAGTAGAGAAGAGGGAGAGGATGAAGAAAAGAGCTTATTCAGTGAGAGAGGATTTAATTCTAACCCATGACATCTGTGGAGACTTTAGGATGAGGTGAGAAGTGACCATAATTTGAATATAAGGGAAGATAACTTCATGTTAGAGGCTTGAGTTTGATTCTTGGATCACTGGGCAAGCAAGCCTTGGAGCTAGACTTCCTGGGTTTGCATCCAAGTGTCACTACTTACCAGCTGTGATATTTATATGATTTAGAATCATCCATAAAATGGGGATAAAGTGGTAATTTGTTATGATTAAATGAGTTAACATATATAAATATCTTAGAACAGTGTATGGTAGTTAGTTATGTTTCTATACAGAGAAATAGTAGGTGACTAGGTAAAGTTTTGATACACTTTTTGTAGATACTATTGAAGATGGATGCTAGAGCTTCAAGAGTCAGTTGTAGGTGAAACATATGCTCTTGAGGTGTCTTCTGGGCTAGAAACAAGCAGGGTTCAGACCCTCTCCCTCTCCTGATGTCCCTGTCTGTTTAATTGAGAGGTTTTCTCTGCAGAAATTTTCCCTAGGGCTGAACCTGAAGGTTCCTGTTGGAGGAGAAGTTAAACAAGTATTGGTTTTCTCAAATGCTCAGAAGAGGCCTGGCTCATAGTAGACACTAAATATATATATACACACACACACACCCCCATATATATATATATATGTGCATATGTATGTATATATACTATATATATGCATATATGTATATATACACACATATATGTGTGTATGTATATATATGTATATACATTATATGTATGTTACAAGTGAATGAATGATAGTTGGGACAATGGAATGAAATAGAGTTTATATTGCACACTAGACAGATTACTCTGGGAATGATAAAACCTTGCTGATGAATTCAGAGGAGAGAGATTGCTGATGTGAATGTCATTTGGGAGGCTCTCCTAGCAGTTCAGGTAGATACAATCAGGGCTCACACCAGGATATGGGACATGTAAGTAAAGAGTTGACTGAGTGGAGTGGCCTTCTAGAGGTCAAAAGTGTAGAACTGGATAAAAGTGGTGTGGGTGTAATGGCTAGTATTCGGCCTCAGAGACTGACAGGTGGAATATGTTTCCTAGAGTAGTAGAAACTGGAGTGGAGAGGATGAAGGTGAGCAGAAGAGGTGAAAGTGGGAAGAAACCCACCTTGCTTTTGCCCCAAGATTTGTTTTCAAGGGCCACTCTCTCTCCTGCTACACCTTAAGGCATATTCCAAAAACCTCCTCTAGGACTTCTGGCCAGGATCTCTATAGTTAGGCCATACTGTCTCTGCAGTTCACAATAAGGTGGGGTAGGTCTTCAAATAGAGAAAGCCAAAGACCATGTGAGCAAAGAAGGTGCTTACCATACTCAATCAGAAGTGGACTTCAGATTCATTAGAGGAGTATGTTGGCATCAAGACACCATTGAATATTTAAAACAAAGGTCACCTCATCATGTGTTTCATTCTGGAACTGGGTATTTTTCAAATTTCCTTATTTTTCACAGTCAAATTTCCTTCATATGCAAATATTTAAAATATCTACAAATTCTTGTAAAATAAGACTAAAGAAAGGAGGACTTTCTCAGGGTCGAGTCCACTGAACCAAAGTCAAGCTGGATTTTCCCCCCTATTGTTGTTTTTTGTATTTATCCATAAATGATTGGTTTCTCAGACTAGGATGATTGCTCTTCCAAGACAGGTACCTGCTTTTCCTTGTACTTTTCTCCAACACAGTACTTTGCCTGGCATTTCAGGCATCTTTCACTGATATGTTACTGTTCGAATTTGGCCTCCTCATACCACCATTGATTAGAATTCAAGAGCTAGAATCCAGGGACTATGAAGCATGAGAGCTCTGTAATGCGTCCAAAAACTGACGTTTTTCTGATCGTTTCACTGATCTTTCTTTATGATAACCAGAAACACCATTGAACAAAAGAGACCTTTGTGCATTTTCCTTTACTTATAAACACGGAGAGACTTGGTCAATTGCTGTACTGCAATTCATGATCCCAGGAGGTACTTTTCTTCTCCTGGTTTGCACCATGAGTATGATTGGTGTATACATTAAGGCCTAGCTAGTTGAGTGAGGTGGAAATAGTCAAGATGTGTTATTATTATTTTTTCACTCTAAATATCCTAGTCCACATATATTAAGTTAGGATTGGTGGCTTTTGATTTTCCAAATGTACATAAGAAAGTAAGTAAAGACAAGTTGGGGATCTTTTAAGCTCAAAACATTCTTGTCTTACTGGTCTTTTTCAACAAGTTATCCATATTCTCTAATAAGACTTTAATTATAATTATGTAGTCCTTTCACCTTCATAACCCACACATTGGCCCACAGTCAGCTGGGTACTTTTTCCTGTGAAGAAGCAACGTGAAATGAACCAAGACTCCAGTTACAGCATCATGGCTCTATTCCTGATTCTACTCCTGATCAGACCACTAAGGTGTGTGTGACCTGGGAAAACTCCCTTTACATCTCTTTTTAGCTTTTGTCATTTTCTCCACTGTGGGAAAGGTAAGGCCTCCAGCCTAGCCTATTCATCCTCCATTTTTCTGATGAGTTCTCTTATCCATTTCCCATAAGAACTGTTTCCAAATTTCTCCACCTTCTTCAAGCTTCTATACCAAAAGCACAACACACTATTGAGGGAAGCTAGAGTTCATAAAACAAGGTCCCAAGGGTGATACATGATCTAGAAGTTCTGCTGAGGCTTGCTGCCTTATTAGTGTTCAAGCCTCAGTGGTCCACCACCGTTTCCTAGATCAGCACCCTCACCCCCACACCCATCCTTATGTCATGCTCCCAGGTCCTTGAGTATTGTATGCTGTAAGTTATGTGGAATATGGACAATAAAAGGGTGCCATGCTGCTGACAGAGAAGTCCCAGACAACACATTTTAAAAATAAGTTGGAGAAGATAGTCTCATGTATTATGGACTTAATGCAGATGAAATGTGAGGTCATGGGTATGGAAGGGTTTGATCTGGGTGAATCTGCCAATAATTGGAAGAAATAGGAGTGAAGGGGGTGTGGAGGTATATTGTGGTCTACAGACATACCTATATCCCTCGCATTTATTAGTTTTTTCATTTATTCATTTACTCTGTAAGAGCCAGCCTACTCCATCCAACCACTATGCTAGACACTAAAAATGCTGGCACCACAGGAAGTTGGAAAGTACAACACGGTGTGGTCTGATATACAATAAAAATGGAATATTTGCACTGGGTTCACTGGAAACTCATGAGAGGGCCACCTGATCTGGATTTGTGTTTCCGTATCAGCTTCTGGAAGGAAATAACATCCAATCTGAAACCTAAAGCATGAAGAGTCATTGCACGGGCAAGCAGAGGTGAGAGATTGTGTTCTTGGCTGTGTGATTTGGCTGATGCAAAGGTCATAGAAACACAAAAATTCTGCAAGTTAAAGAAAATATATGGATTTTGTAATGCTTGTCAAGAGTGAAGGAAATGGTATGTAAAGCCTGGGAATTATTTTCTACAGATTTAAGTCAGATAGATAGTGGGGAACCAAGTTAGTAGGAAGTTTAATTGATATAAGAGATATTAATTGTGTGAAATGTATAAGATTTGAGCTTATACTGAAAGACTGGGGTAAGGTCTTTCTAGCACAGACTCTGGTTAGAGAAGAGCCATTAGCCAGATGTCAGAAATGTTAGGATGCTGGATGTGTTAGGGAAGTACCAGTGGTGATGTTCTATTTCCTGAAAAGTTTTGAACATTTATCAAAGATAAGTTTAGTATATTCTTTAGTACATGGGAAGTTCCTTTGAAATTTTTCCTTATGTTTGTTTCCTGTATGGAAAAATCATTGAGAAAACCAGGGAAAGACTGGATGAGTTGGGGGAAGGGGGAACTGGTGGCCTGGAAATTGATTCACAAAGGCTACAATAATGGATTAAAAGAAAGGCCCTGAATTGGCTGCCAGAGGTAGTAGGAGGGGTGTGCCTTCTCCTTGTCTCCCCTTATTTGCATGTGAGACCAAGGTCCCAAGGAAACAGATGAGTCTAAAGGTCGTTTTCTCCTTTCTCGCCGTCTTTGCACTCATATTATTTGAATCCCATGTCTCTGGTATAATGAACAGTGCACACATAAAAAGGAAAGACTGTTGGACTTGGAGCCTGATGACCTGGATCCTGGTCTACTTTCTACCACTAAACAATTGTGTGTCCTTGAACAAATTCTTTAACATCTCTGATTTCCGGTTTTCTCTCTGTAAAGTAAAAGTAGATGTGCTTTGAATTTCCAGTTTGTATGTTGCAGTATTTGTATGTATCTGTAGGGTGCCCAGTTGAGAAAATAATGCAGTCCCTGCTGTGTGTTGTCTCAAAATCCATATGCATATAACTGACTGTCATATAATAATGCTAATGATGAGAACCTTATGAGAGATACTGCCTTCAGTGACAGAAATGGGAATGATAAAAATTTCAGCTTAGGGAAGTCACAAATTTCTTATGTCAGTGGTAAGATGTGAGCACAGCTTTGAATGATATAATAATGGGGGACAAATAGATCAGGTTGAAGGAGCTAATCTGAGAATGTATAGGGCTTTTTTTAGGGACACAACAAATAGTCCACAATGGATGGATCATGAAGTGTTTTAGGAAAGGTTTTGCTTTTGAAAAGTGGATGGGAGCTAGAACCTGTTGGTCCTAATATGCTCAGCTCAGGGGATTCCAGGCTGATTTTGTAGGTACTTTAGAGGAAGCAAATAGGTTTGGGCCTAGGAATGAAGTAAAAGTCAGATCAGTGCTTCAGAAAAAATGATTATTGATATTTAGCCTTAAAAAAGAAGGAAATTCTACCATTTGCCACAACATAGATGAACCTGGAAGACATTATGCTAAGTGAAATAAGCTGGGCACAGAAAGACAAATACTGCATGTTCTCATTTATATGTTCAATCTAAAATAATTGAACTCATAGAAGCAGAAAGTTGAATGGTGGTTCTCAGAGGGTGGGGGTAGGGTAAATGGGGAGATATTGGTCAAAGGGTACCAAGTTACAGTTAGACAGAAAGAAAAAATGGTAAGTATTTAAGATGAAAAAAGGTAAGTGAAGTTTCTTACTTTTATTATGGTCACTCTTACAATTTTTTTAAAAAATTTACCTTGTAAAACCATTCATTCAAATGTTTTTATAGGCCTAGCTAGGGTCTGATAATGTTTATAAGATAAGCTCTAAATTAAAATTGTAAGATGTTATGTTTTTGAACTCCTTCCAAGGGAGTATTCCTGGGTAATATTATTCATTTACTGTTACTTATAAAAACTAAAAGTTTTATCTGCTCATAAAAAAGGAAAAATAATAATAAGTCTGGAATAATGTAAAGTTCAACTTCATGGTATCTCTGAATGCCTCATCCAGGGGAAAGGATTTCAGCATGGACTGAAGAATTCATGTGAAATATGGGAAGAAGTTTTTTCCAGGTACAGGATCTTTCTGAGAAGAGCCAATAGCCAAGTAGTAGAATGTGTGAGGGATATGTCGGGAACTAGCAAGTAGGATAATGCTGTTCTATTTTCTGGAAAAAGTCAAATGTTCATCAGAGATTTCAGTATATTCTGTGGTTAATGGGATTAAAGTTATGTAAGTATGTTTGTGGTACAATGCTGAATGATGTTGA